AGAGCACTGAGAGGAAAAATCTGTCTAAACAAATTCCTTGAAACAGCTTTTTGAAATGCAGTTAAGCATGGTACTCAATCTAGATTTTCCAGACTGAATCTATAATTTAGATACCAAGGCTTGTCATTTTTAATAGTTGTCACTGTTGAGCACTGTGGATGTTAGCTGTCATAAATATATGAGGCCTGTCTACACATTTATTTTTCCAATGACCCCATAAAATTGGTCCAAAAAATAAATGTTGCTCCTTTTATTCAGTTAACAATTTGAAAGCCTCTTATGGAATATAAAAATGCATAGGGGGTACCCTGAGCTGTTATTAGCTCCATTGTTAAAAATAGAAGACAAAAAGGAAAATATCATTCAGTCATAGTTTTAGCTAATCTGAATGCATGGAGTTGGTACATAAGATATCAAGGCAAATCCATCTCGGGTACACAGGGCCGCAGGAAGTATGTCAACCAAATGCACATGACCAATATTTTCCTGGCATTTTCTAAACAGATACTATCTCCTAAGATGATGTTTTCCTTGAAGAACTCTGCGCTTACTCCCAACAATACTAATCTCTACAATTCTAAGTCACATTATGTTTTTTTAAAGCATTTCAGTTGACTTGTACTACACAATATCATTGTGAGATATAAGTACAGAAAAGAGAAACTCACCCCCATTTCACAGATGAGTAATTAAGTCACAGATGGGAAAAATGAATCACCCAAAATCACACAATTTGTTCACGGCAGAATTACAGGTAACATAAGTGGGGAGTCTGTGTAATCAGTATAATAATTGTTCCAATCCACCAGGAAGCCATCTTAATAAATGTTGATGTTAATAATAAAAAGTTGGTGTGGTGTTATAATTAAATGATAGCTCAATTGATTTTTAAGGATAAGGAAAGTTCTATAGTTCATTTCTTTTCATGGTAGTATGCTAAATAAAATAAAATAATGAAATTAAAATTAATTCAAGAAATATTTTTGTGTGTTGACTATGTGTCAGATATTGTTTTAAATGCATGGGATAGCTACACCAGTGAACCAAAGGACAAAACAGGTGAAAACCCCTGATGTCTCAGAGCCTACATTCTAGCAAAAGAGACCAAAATAAGCAAGTGGCACGGTGATCACAAAAATAAGCTATCTTGTATACTCAAAGATCGTAAATGCTGGTAAAGAAAGGAAGTTGGTAAGGAGGTAAGGGTTGGGCAGATTGTAGTATTTATTTGCTTGGCCAGGGTAGGATTCACTGAGATGAGATCAGTGACTTGCCAGGTAAGAGAGCACAGTCAGGGAAAAGTGCCGAGCAGTCTGCTGGAGTGTTCAAAGAACAGAAAGGAAGTCAATGTGACTATAGCTCTGTTAGGAAGGAGAGTGGTGTGAGATGAGGTCAAAGAAAGAACAGGGAGACAGATCATGAAGGGCTTTAGAGGCCACCACAACAAATCTGGTTTTTATTCTGAATAAGGTACAAATCATTGCGAGACTGTGAGAAGTAGAAAGGCCTGACCTGACATTTTAAAGAAGATCCATGACTGGTCATTAAATATGTTAACATTCAGCAGTCAATATATTGTATAATCTTTGTTATATATATGAATTCCAATTTACTTTCCTCCTTCCAGAATAAAATACTATTATTCCCATTTTTCCAAAGAAAATACCAAGCCTCAGAATATCTATGTAACTTGTCTAAGAAAAGATTTAGTACGTGGTAGAGTGGGCAAAAAGAACATTTTTTTCCAACTCATAGTTTAAAACTGATTGTTCTTTGGAACTTTAAGTTCCAAAGGAAAGAAAATAATAATTGAAATTTATTACTTAGATTATCCATCAATAGAGATGTTCAGTTTGACATATTAAAATTGATCCAAACCCATTTTCCCCTTATTATTAATTCCTGGGACACAAGCACACAAGTAATTTCCCTGAATTTTCTATTTGAAATGCCATATGAACATTCAGGCTAAGATTTTTGGAGGCAGAAGTAATCAAAATAATTTAAATTTATAACAGTAACTTTACAAAGATTTTCAAAGTCTTTCAGTTATTATTCATGAACTGTACTATGTATATATGTCATTCTGCTAAATTCTTTGCATATATCATTGTATTGTATATTCACAATAACCTCTAAGAATTTTATTAGCAATTTCATTTTCTAGATAGTAGATGTGGACCCTGGAAGTCTACAGGACTGTTCAGTTCTAGAACTGGGATTTTAACTAAATCTCCAGAGTCTAAAGGTAAGTCCTCTTCCCTAAGCTATACTTCTTCCCACAACATAATGGTCAACATATCACCTCAACATGCCTAACTCATGTCAACTACATATGAGTAGCCCCACTTTACAGATGATTAACTGGTCGTAGAAAAGTTAATCAAGCAATCAACATTTATTTTATAGCCACAATATGCAAATCAATAGTTAGTTGCTGAGAGGACAGAGGATTTATGATATAATATCTTGCCTCAATGAGCTTACAATCTTATTAAGGCAACAAGAGACATATTAAAAGATAATAAATAACCCAAAATAGCACATAATAAGTACCAAATGAGATATATTGCCAACAAACGTTAAATAAATTCAACACAGTAAAAAATGAATGTGGTAGCTTCAATTCAGTTAAGAAAGATCTTTACTAAAGCACAGCAGTGCTGAGGTAGTCTTTATAGGAAAGGTAGGATTTTCATAAATGGAGAGGACTAAGTAATTCCAGTGAAAGGGGAACATATAACCAAAGGCCAAGGGAACAGATGTGAGTAGAATATTAAACAAACAAACAAATATGAATAGATGTGTTTGAAGTGTAGGACGGAGTAGCAGCAAAGTAAACATGAATCCAAAGAAGTAGATCATAATCAACCTTGATGATCAAGTGAGTAATCTAAAGGACAAGGGAAGTAACTCATCATTGGTGAACTGCTAGCATGTGGCAACTTCTTTGTGTGCACTTTTTGTTTATGTAATCCAGTCAACAACCCTAAAAGGTAGAAAGGTAGCTATGTCGTGGTCATTTTAAATGTAAGAAAACAAAGATTATCTGTCCAAGATATGATTTTGTATGTAGGATGAAGCAGAAATTGTCTGCCTGCAAGTGCAGTCACTGCATTTTATGCAAGACACCCAGGAACCATCAAAGGTATTTGGTCACGAGAAGAAAGTGACATATGAAAAGCATTGTAAAAGTGAAAGAAGACTAATCTGACTGTGAGATATTAGCATATGTCCAATATCAGAGAAGGATTGGGGAAGGAAGATACTAAGCAAGGACAGCCACTTTTGTCTATTGTATTATCCCAAATAACAGCATGACTGAAAGCCATATTTGAGTGTTTACTGTGAGAATACAATGTAAGAGATTTTACAAAAGAAATACAGAGATAAATGGAATTACCCACATGCTGCAACAAGTAGTCTCTACTACCCAACCACACACCCATAGTGTAAATATTTCTCTGAAAAATCCCAAGGTTTATCTCCAGTTTTAAGATTTTAAGTAACAGCATGTTACTTATTTAAAAATAACACAATCTATGGCTTAGGAAAAATATCTGCCTTAGTGTAAGCCAGCTTTTAAACCACCAACATGAATTATGAGACTCTTTCGTAGGCATATTTCTTTCATATGAGTTTGCAAGAACTCATAACATGATCAGTAAAACCTCATGTTCATGCTCATTTGAACTATTAATAACTAAGAAAATATGCTTTTCCTTTTAGTTTTTCCTTTTAGAAAAAGGAAAATCTCTAAGATTATATCTCTGAGAGACATACTTTGTCATATTTCTGAACATGACTCCTTCTTGATATTTCTTTCTTATAATTCAAGGTAGTGCTTAGAAATCGAGTTAAAAGCTAATCACAATTAAATGGCATAGTGTTTAACAGCTTGAGTCTTTTCTGTCTTGTTCTGACTTCCAGGCAATTCCAATCAGACAATTTCCAGATATATGTAAAATTAACAATTACCTGTATTTTTGCAAAATAAAAGTATTTACATAAATATCTAAGTATTTAGTCAATTCACATATTTTCAAGCAATTTAATAGTGCAGAATTATCAACCTCATAATAACCAAGCTATCTATATAAACCTTTAATTAGATTAAGTGTTCGAATGATATGTCTTAATTTTAAATTGTTAAGCTGATCATCTTGCTGAGTATAACATACATGCAACAAATGTGTGCATATATCGAGAGATATGTGGATAGAGATAGATATCTCATACTAGACTTGAGTAACAATATTTTGATTCAGAATCCTTTTAGGAATTATCTACCTATCCTACTTTCACTGAATTACCTTAATATCACCTAGATATGCTAAAGGATAATTAAAATATAACATATTAGCCAAGCCTAATTTCCTTTACCTTTAAGGATAAAAAGAGATTTCTTTTTCTGAGTGGAAAATTAATATTCAAATTTTAAATCAAACTATGTCACAGCCCAATAAAATTAGGTCTACATCTAATGTATTTCTAAGTTTCAAGAATATCAAGCCTTCACTGCGTTTTAGAAATGTCATTTGCATGTACACAGAAATATCATAGAATCCCAAAAGTGCATTTACTGAAATACCACCCTCATTTATGCACATCTGTAGTGGCGTGAAAATAGACATCTGTAAAACATTGTGAAGTAAACCAAAGACACTGCACAAGCCTATCAACGTAAGAACACTAGACTTTAATATACTTCATGTTGGGAAAACTTAGATATTATAGAAATAAACTTATTTAAAATCTATTCATGCAGACCATGTGCTCTATATGACTTCTGGCATTCTAATCAAGATATGTTAAATACATTATGTGTACATAATAGGAACCACAGATTATGTTTACTCCATATACCTTCTACTATCTGTGGTTTTCAAAATCATGGTAATACATTCATATATAAAATGTATTGAAACATGAATATTATTACCCTTAGCTTTTAAAGGCATTATTTTGTGAGAGTTTTAAAAAAGTAAAACTATTTTTACCTCCCAGTCCTGGTCTAAGCCGATTATCGTAACCATCCAGAAGTCTGTCTAGAATTCTTGTAAAGATGGTAATGTTATTTTTAGCCTCATCTTCTTGGATGTTAGCCAGCACCAACCTAAACAGATAATTTTACAAGCTGATATAGATACACACACACACACACACACACACACACACGTGTGTGTGTGTTTTACGAGTGCCAATAAGCTCTTCCTTGCTTTGAATTTTAAAGCTTCTTAACTATTAGTGTCACCCATTTTCCTCCCTTTTTTCACATCTATATATGCCAGGATATCTGAGGGGAAATCAAAAATGAAAAAGATTATAAATATTGGATTATCAGAAAGTTTGATGTCAAAATTATTTCAGATTTCTATCACTTAGCATTCTGTGTGGACTATTCATTTTTTTCTAAAATCCATTCCCTAGAATGGATTATGATTGCATATTATCACATGCCGACACTATTAGTAACATTATTCTGCATTTAGAAAGGTACAATAACCAAACATTCTTCCCTGATTTAAATATTAATTGGAAAATAAATTGCCTCCTTGGAGGCATAAAATTTCTCTATGTTCCTCATAAATTTCTTTTCTTCTTCATGTCTTTTTCTTTTTTAGACCAAGATTATTTCCTTACTTTGGGTATACCTCCACCCAATGGCCAAGTGCAATATAGACATCAGGGAAACTCCACTGGCTGTGTTCCAGGCTCCACTGTAGGCAGGAGGTGGAGGTGGGCTCTGAGGATCAGCACATGTACAGCTGCACAGAACACTGTGGAAGTCCCCTCCTGCTTCATCTCTAAGGAAAGCTACAGGGGTCACCTGAATATTAAAATGCCAACTATTTGTTTGTGTGTATGTGTGTGTGTGTGTGTGTGTGAGAGAGAGAGAGAGAGAGAGAGAGAGAGAGAGAGAGAAGAGAGAGAGAGAGAGAAAAGAGAGAAAGACATTTGTGGGAATAACAAATGGTTTAAAATATCACCAAAAGAGGGTTAGAAACAGTGATTTTCTTCATTATTTCTCCATCAGAAAACCAGGGACCTGATTTTGTGACATCCAGCAATTTGGTACAGAAGCAAGTGGATATATAAAACAGAATGTCCTTTTTCACTGCCATTTTTTCCCCCCAGAATGATTCAGAGATTTAAATTACTGGCCCCAAAAAAGAATCATTTATATAATAGAATAAATACTGGCATGAACATTATTGGTCAAATACAGAACAGAAATCGAGAAGAAGGCAACATTGTTAAGCACTGAGGATTTTCAATGACTATTAATTGACCATGGTTTACTTATGCCTTTAAATCAAAGATTATATATAATTACATTATTATTGAGGTATATTGTGTAAAATATCACTGCCAGAGTGCATCTGCGTTTAAGTGATTATACAGATAGTGGCTAAAATAATCATGTATATGAAAAAAAAAACCTGTTAATCAATTTCTAACAAATATTGTTTTGAAAGCAGAGAAAATATTAAACACTGATATGAAAATTGATATTGAAAAAATATGTAAGCAAATTAGTTCATACCCTCCCACATCAAAAGTTCCTATATTGCCCCTATATTGCCTTAAGTTAATTTTTAAGCAATCACTAAGATAGTTTCAGAGATTTTCACTCAAAAGTGGTTTTTAATCACATATCACATTTTCTTTCTTAAGTCAATATTAAGGTATTAAATATAGAGATACATTTCAATTAAAAATGAGGCTTTATAAAGAAGTTTCTTCTCAATTCTAAAAAATATTTTCTTACTTAGGCAATTACTGGGACAGGAAAATGAAAATAAAAAGAGGAATAAAGATATAATAAAAGCATTTTTTTAAAAAAAAATAATTATATAAAATAATGAATCCTGTATTTCAGTTCCTCTGGTATTCTCAAATCTGTATCTTCAAGGCAATAAATAAAAAATGTCCATTGACATGAAATCAGAAAAGACTACAACTAAGATGAAGTTATTGAAAGCAATAAAAATTAATTTCATGTTTGTACTATTTAAGCTAAATCAAATTAGTTGCACATTTGAGTACTCTATAACTTGCCATTTTAGGAACAAAAGCTTTCTAAATCAATAATATGAAAAGTTGATTAATAAATCAAGCTTTTGTTTTATTGTTTGTGATTGTGAAGTTGTTGTACTACCTCCACCTAGAGGTTTAAGATTCACACATCTTTTGGGTTTTCTGTGTTAACTACAAGGGCCAAAACCATTAGAAGAAAAAGGGGTGGAAAAACGGTAAAAGAAGTTAACACAAACCATTTGAGTTTGTGCTTTTCTGTGTGGTTTAAATGAAAACTGTTGATTCCTTTACTAAATTTTGGTTTTATTTTAAACATATACCATTGAGCAATTCTTTGCAAGATTATGTCATTCAAAGATATTCTTTTCTAGCATTTTTAAAGAAAATGTTTCTGTTCACTTTTGTATTTTATCACTAAAAACAAGAAAACAGTGAACTTTTTTATAGTTTCTGCCAGGGCACAGTTCAGTTTCCTGGTATCACCTTTTTCATTAGAAATAATTCTTCAAACCACTCCAGCCTCTCAGAAGCCCCCCACCCCCACCCCTTCATGATGGCATTCAAGAAACACATTTTTTAGCCTGAATTTAAAAAAGTCAAAGACCATGATTGACTCACCTTGCTGGGTCCCCCATCAAGAAAAAAAGCAGCAGTAATTGTATATTGTAGATGTTCAATTTCATCTTCATCACCTCTGTTTGTGAAGCCATGGGAGAAAGACAAAATTACACTTAAATCTTACATTCAATCCCACCATCCAAAACATCCACGGAATGAAGAATGCAATTTCAATTGAGAACTGAAGTTACAGCTATGGAGATGATTCTAGTGGAGGGAGTGTAGGGCGTGATGATTGGGGGAGGGTGTTTTTTGTCTTTTTTTTTTTTTTTTAAACCAAGTAATCCGACTTTACTCTGCCAGGAACTTCCCCCAGCATCATCGTCAGCAAATACCGTTCTGTGCTCACACACATGTAATAATAGCAAACGGGACCCCGAACTGACATATGAGCTGGAGCAGAGACTGGGCTGGGGCGGAGAGTGACAAGGGGGAGGAGAGAGGGTTACTTTACGCCACAGTTCCCTTAACCAAGACCACCTCCACCACCCGAGCCGGGGAAGCAAGGGTACCCAGCCCACTTTTCTGGTGATTATTCTGAGATTATGCATGAGCGCGAACTGCCGTCCTCACATCTTCACTTCTTCACTCCCGCTAAAATAAAACGAAATAAAAGCATCCCTCTCCATTCCCACCCTCACTTGCCCGAGACCACGACTTGGAGGCAGCCGGGTTCGGATCAACTGCTGCGAAACGACGCGTTTGACAGCTGCTCGAGAGCCGCGATCTCGGTGCGAGCAGGAGCCCGAGGCTCCCGGATCCGGCAGCAGCAGCAGCAGCAGCAGGCAGCGGAGCTCAGTGTGCAAAGTTGAAGCCTCTAAAAGAGCCGGGCTAACGTGCCGCCGGGCGGGCGTCTCAGGGTAGTTGCAAATATGCTTCTGGTGACGAGGAGCGAAATTATTTTTTCAATGTACTTCGGAGGAAGGGACGACCCCGAGCCTCCTGGGTTTCCAGGGAGCATCAGGGAAGTGGCGTGGGGGGCAATGAGGCATGCATGGAAGGCAAAGGGCTCTCCTGGGACCAATGCGTGAGACCTTACCTGATACAGCAAGCAGAACCGAGGGGTTTCCTCCCTTTGCCCAGATCTTGAGGAGATAAGAAACTTGAGAGAGAGAGACAGAAACCGAGACGGAGACGGACTGCAGCAGCCGAGCGAGGAGCCAAGGGCTAGTGGAAGCCAGAAGGGAGCGAGCGGAGCAGCGGCTGCGACCAGGAGTAGCAGGAGAAGGCGTTCGTAGTGGCGGTGATGGGCAGAGGAGGAGGGGGAAGCGCTGGCCTCGCGGGAGGGGGGGTGGGGAGGGGGGCGCTAGCTGGCGGGGGCGCGGTGCGCGCAGGCAGTGGCGGGCACGAGCCCCACGGCTGGAGGAGGAGGAGCCAGGCCCGAGAGCAGGGCTAATGAGGTTCCCCGAAACGCAGGGACCCCAACCCCCGCCCCAATCCCGGGTAACCTCCAGCAGCCCGTCAGGCACCTGCAGCGGCACAGCCCGGGGTGGCGGAGTGCGCCGCGATGCGCCCGGAGCGCCGCTCCCCGCGCCCACGCCGTGCAGGAGGAGCGGAGCCCACGCGCCGCCAGCCCGGGACTGCTCCCCGCCAGCGCCCGCTGGGGCTCCCTCGAAGCCCTGAGGTTCCTGGGCACTGCTCGTGGGTGTCTATGCGCAGTCGGAAATGCACTATGTCTGGGCGGCCCTTAGATCCTTAGGGCCTCGCCCTGCCGCCCGCCCCCCAACATCTCAGGCTCTGGAGCAACGTGGCTGCCAAGGAGAGGTGAAGAGGTACTGCTCCAGCTGGAGGGCGAGGGGACGAATCATGCCTTTACTTAGTCATCGGCTCATCCACGCAGGACCAAGTTTAAAGCACGTTGCGTGGAATCAGACCACGGGAAGTTTCTTTGATTTTTCTGAGCCCTCTTGATAAACCACTCATTCCTTCACATCCTCGCAATCAGGACCTCAAAGCTCTAGGGGATGGAGACTTCCCTGGAGCCATTCAGTGAAGCCCATTTGCAGATTATACACCTAGGGAGACCTCCCGCTCATTCTCAGCAGTTCTTTTCCCCAATCTCTGTTCACAGGTGTCCTTCCTACCTGGACATCAAAGTAAATCAACAGCTCCCCAAAAGTTTACATTTCCCTCGAGCAAAATGGGGGCCCGCTGTGTGTGTCCACTACCTCTGCAATTCTTTCCAGGGGCGAATGCAGCAGGTTTGAAGCTTTTCTCCTTTAGGGTTATCTGCTGGCAGATGGACCTGTTGTAATTCCAGTCCTATCGTACAACTTCATGCATTGTGTGTGATCTAGCTCTTTTCTATTCTGTTTTTTTCTGAAGCGATAAAATCCAAGCGTGCAACTTGAACAAAAAATAGACATTTTCCCTTTTTGTACAGCACGTTGTGCACATACACTAAGACAAACAGAGCAGTGTTTATCTCAAGAAGTTGTTATAAACGTTAGACACTTTAAAAGGAAAAAAAAAGGAGATACCTATGTGATATGTGTCTGTCATTTTCATTCAGAATCAGTATGTGCCAAACACATCAATTTTGTTAATTATGAACCAAAATTTAGATTCTGTTTTATCTAGATGGTGCAGTTCTCATAACCACAGGCACTGTTAATCTACAGTAAATCTTAGCTTTGCTTTAAAGATTATGTGAGAAGTCTAAAATCTTTACTTTGTAAATATTTCAAGCTGTTCTTTTTAACCTATAAATCGCCACTTTCTAAATGAGCATTTAATATGCTACAACCTAAATAAACATTCCCTCTCCTATTTAGCTGGCTCTGTAAAGAATGGAACACCACCCAGCTCTCTCCATCATTAATATTCCCTTCCTGACGACTAGTCCATTGCAGAGTCTAATTGAAATGCACAAAGATAAAAGGCATGCCATTTAAAACCTTGCAACTAGGGGATCTAAACATTCTACTGGTGTGAGCACTCTACTTCCTACTGTATTTTCCTCTTTTCCATTTCTATGAGTTAATCATCATTAAGGTGTCTGTCCTGCCATTTATATTACTACCAAGTTGTTTATATTTTGATAATGTAAATTGGACACCACATGATTTCTTCCCAACCTAGTTGCTATGTTTCAACAAAATTTCTTTCGTAAAAGTCACAATTTCTATAAATATCTTCACAGAGTATTCTCATACTTAACACTATAGTCATTTTGCTCGGTTCTAATGCTAAAATATGAATTTTAGTTTTAATTGATTTATTTCAAAATATGTATCTAATGGAATGATTTGTTCCCAAAATTAGCCTTTTCCATTAGCACCTTATTAAGCTTGTAATCTCATTGCCATATGACTGATTCATATGGAACTTAACATTAAAGTTCAAGCTGTTTTGGATGAGTATCACCTTTCAATTTTTTAAAAACCTGTATTTGAAACAGAGTATAGATTTGTACATAATTACTTGAAAGAGATTCACAATAAAGACTATTTTTAAGTCATTATAGTAACTACAATTCTTAGTTATTCTTAGTTATTGCAAAACAATTTTTTCTAAAGATTTATTTATTTATGCATACAAAAACTGGGGTACAGGCCAGAGATGTGGGGGAGGGGGTTAAAGGATTCACCACAGACAGAGTAGGTAGCAGAACAGGAGGATCTACTGAAATAGAGGGGAGCAGTGGGCGAGTCAGGAGAGGTCTGCTGCTCCATCTGGGTTCGGGGATTGAACTTGTGCTGCAGAGGCTGCGAACAGCTTCATAGGCTGCGTCTTAACCTTGTGCCACCAGGGAGGCCCTGCTTTGCAATTTTATTAAAGTTGGATAGCTGTGATTTTTAACTTCAAAGCACTAAGGAAATGGAAATCAGAAAAGCTTATTGCAGGCCCTGGACCTCCACTTTTATTGCTCTATCTATCTATACTGATGTTTTACTATACCCCTACATTTACTGTATACTCTCTGTATTACTATATTTCTAGGATTGTCCAACTTCCCCCAAACAACTGACACATGCAGTCTGGTTTTCTTCTTCCTTCTCTATGATGGAGTGAACTGCCTGTGACTTGAGAGCCAATCCATGTGGATTGTGACTAAGCTCCCTCTACCTACTCCTTTGGAGCATGTCCTAAAGCAACCCATCCAGTAGAAGAATTGAGACTGGTTGCCAAAAAATCCATTCCTGCTCAGGCTAGGGTGGGACAAAACCTTCTATTTGAGTTGATTTGAATTACTCATCTACAAATGGGATTGGAGGGATCACTTCTTATATCTTCTCTATCCCAAGTCCCTAAAGAAACTTCTACATGAGGGCCTCCCCGGTGGCGCAGCGGTTGAGCGCTGGGTTGCGAAGCTGCCCGCGGCCTCTGTGGTGCCGGTTCGATCCCCGGCTGCTCCCCGGCCACCGGAGGAGGGTCCCACATGGCGTGCAGACCTCTCCTGCCGCCCGCTGCTCCCCTCAGCAGTGTACTTCGGTCCTTCTGCCTGCTCTGCTCCCCGCTCTGGCTCTGGTGAATTCTCTCCCCCTCCCGCGCTTCTGACTGTACCCAGTGCATGTATAAACAAAACAAACAAACAAACCAGCAAAACAAATAAATAAAGCATGCCTCTATTAAAAAAAAAAAAAAAAAAAAAAAAAAAAAGAAACTTCTACATGAGAACCAAGAATAAAAGAAAGATGAAGCATTGGAAGAGTTTGGTTTTGTTTGATTTTTCTTTCCTGATAGCTCACAATACTATACCTTTATAAAATTCATTACATACTTTTTTTTTCATGTTTTTGATGATGTGTTTTTCAGGATTTCCCTTTCTAGGATCCAGCTATTTAGAGACTTGGCACTACTGCTCCAGAGAACTTCAGGAAATTTTAAGTTCTATGAGACAATAAGTGTTAGAGGTATATATGTAAATATATGTATACATTCACACTTATCTGTTGATAGCTAACAAAATTAATAGAATAGATATAAGAACTGTAAAGAGAATAGCATTTATGTAACTTTTCTACAAAATGCATTTAGTCTCACTACTATGTAACTGGATCATATATTCTACATATTCACCACATAGCCATTCAAAAACAAACAAAAACCTAACTGGAGCAAACACCCCTTTGGTAATTCTCAATTCAAAACCATAGATTGATCAAACTCCATTTTTTCTGTAGTTTTAATTCAGATATAGTTTTTAAATACTTTGAAGAAAAGTACCAGCATTACTTCAACTAGCATAGCACTTCACTGTATTTACAAATTTAAAATATATCTGCATGTATTCCATATAATAAATTGATTTATTCTTTATTTACCTTCCTATGTGAGTCATTCATTCAAATAAGTCATTCATTCAAATAACTAAAGCACAGATTATCCTTTTCTCACAGAATTAAATACTAGTCTATACTTTATCCCCAAAGTGCAAGTCTGTTCTCACATATTCACCATAGTCTTTCAAAACAAACAAAAACCTAAATACTGCTTTGGTAATTCTCAAGTCAAAACCATAGACTGATCAAACTCCATTTTTCCCTAAGTTTAATTCAGATGGATAGTTCTATTATGTCCAGTTGTCTCCAAGATTTTGAAAAAAGCAGCAGCTGGAAAGTGGGAGTAGCTAGTCTTATAAACAAATTATTCCAGAATTACTCTGTTACATTAATGTATCTAGGTCACATTTCATTAGAGCTAAATATATCATGTATACTAGTTTGTATAAACTATGCACATTACCTTCTTCAGAGTAACTCTTTATAAATTTACAAATCCTTATCCAACTTGCAAATCGAATATATCATGAATTCATGATATTTTCATGATGATTTCTGATATTGTAGAAATGAACTGCATATATAAAACATGAATAGAGTAACTTGTAAAGAAATCATTTCACCTTCCTTTTGTGAAATTACAAAATTTATTTTTCAGATTCTTTAATTGCTTCCTATAAGAAAGATTAAGGTCCAGTAATGTAAACCAAACTCTTTCCCCTTGGAAAATACACAAAGCATTTCACTGAAGAATCTGCTATATGACTGACAGTTGTCTTCCCATGAGAAATGTTCCACTAATAATAATCACAGTAATGAAAAAAAATAAATGTAAATCCATAATGTCTTCACTTGTTTGACAATTTAGAACCCATTTGAAATAATTTTCATGTATACATTTAATTATTCTTCATAAGTAAGAGAAAATCTTCATTCCCATTTCACTGATGAGAAACTTGAGGCATAGAAAGTTCACGGTCTCCAGTGGTGGAAGCAGGAGTGGAGCCCAAGTA